CTGATGGGGCTTGGTGTTGTATAACCAGGTTGCAGTGCTCGTTAGGATATGAACGACTCTCAGGCTAAAACCAGCTCATTCTTTCCCCAAACCTCACAGTATATCCCAGTTTACTTTTATGGAAACAACAGCTGTGATGTGTTAGTCCAGCAGGCAAAAAGTAGAAACAGAGATGGCTTTCATTGCTTTCTCCCTGCTACCAGCACTTAATGTATGTATCAGGCCTGCATAGACTACTCCTATAGGAGAGAGAGCAGGAAATGGCTTTGGTAGCACACACCTGCAACTCCATGCAAGGTGCAAGGTGGTAAAGAGCTGATCTAAGGGTTAAAGACATCAGGTTAGCTCTTGATCTAGAAGTGAAGATATGAATATACTTAGATGTCTTTCCCTTTTTGTCTTTTTGGAAAAAAAATCCATGAGGGGACTCAGTCCCTCTCCACAAGGAGACTCTAACAGAAACCAGAGGGAGTACCCACATTTTAGTTAATGGGAGGAGAACTATGGCTCTTAATTTGCAGAGCTGTAGGTAAGGAATTTTTTACATGGAAATAGGGGCACTTTCTCACACCAATAACTCTGTGTCACTGTTGTAATCCAGATGAAGCCAGATGCTGAACTCTGTCTCAGTGCTGGCAAGGCAGAGCAGCCTCCTTGGCACTGGTCTTGATTTCCATCTGGGTGACCAGAGCAGGTCGTGGAACGAACCACAGTTATTGCAGTGATTGCTGTGTTCCTGCTTGAGTTCAAAAGGGAAATTTGAAAGTGCTGTGTATCGCACCAGAGTATGGATTTCTATTAAAATTAAAATACTTGGCAAAGTGGATAGCCTCTGTAGAAATTTTACTTCTGAAGAAATCCAGAGAAAGAAGAGAGTTAAATTCAAGTTTCTACCTTTTGGATATTAAACTCTTTGTTTTCTTTTTCTTCTTTTAAACTGTTTCTTAGTTGAATGTATGTTGCTGTACATTTTCCATGTAGTAGAATAGCATGTTTTTAAGTTATGATGAAGGATTGAACCAGACCATTCCAAATGACCTCAGACACACAGGTATTTATGCACTTACCCTCAGATTTAAACTGATGTTATTTTTTTAAATCCTTAAAATCCTTTGTGACGTGGCATTTCCCTCCCCAGCCCAGGGCAGGCGGTGGCCCTTGCTGGGGCTCTGAACTGGAGCAGCAACGAAGTAAAACGCAAATGAACAGAAGACAATTGTTAAGTATATTCGAAATCACTGAATGGGGATGCGTGAGACTTTCCAACAGGTTTGAAAAGAACAGCAACTCTGTCTCCTCCCTAGCAATACTTACTGTTCTCTCACCCCTGAGATTAACATCAAAATTATTAATTGTTCAAGCTTGGATTGATTCAGACTTTTCCTGGCTATTCTTGTGTTTGGTTGTTCGGTGTTGCTATTCAGGACAGCTGACAGCCCTTTAGAATCTACTTGTTTATTCGCACTTTGTTTGAAAGATGGAAACATAACATTTGAGAGCTGCTATTTACTACAACAATGCAAATTTAAACTGTTAAAACACCACAATAGCTTTTATAAATAATGGGAAGGGAGAGGTAAATGAAAAAGCTTTCATACAAAATGAAATAAAAAATCAAAAAAGTGCACAAGAACATCAAGTGAATTGCACATGTTGCAGTAAAAAAAAAAAAAGTACAGTAACGTGGTCATGAAATATTCCAAGAACATTTCACAAAAAGTCATCATCTCTGAAGGAGTCTATCTATCACACTCAGTAAAAACAAGCCATTTTACCTTGCACTAGAACTACTGATCTGCTTACGAAGCCTGGTTTGTTTGGGTTTTGGGGTATTTGTCTTTTCACAGTAACTTCAAGATAGATGCATTAAATGCACATTGAATTTGTGCAGATTCAGTATTGCGCACAAAATATTGTGTCAATGGCTGGAGTGGAGAGGTAGTGGGCTCCATTTCAGTGCAAATAAATATAAACTGAGCGTGTAAGGATCAAGCAGAAAGGACTTAATAACATTGTAATTACCACATTCCCCCTCTAACAGAGTCTTCTCTCCGCAGCTTCTGTACACGGTGTGCCCTTATCCTTCCCGCAGTTATGGTAGGTTCCCATCAGACCAGTGCTCTCCAGCTCAGCGACTCTCCTGCTCAGGACAGATGGTTCACAGCAACCAGGACATGGGTCTCCCAACAGAGATGAAGGTCTCTCGGTTGAAAGAAGAAATGGACTTTCTATATTTGCTCCACTCAAACCCAGTTTCAACTTCTCCAAGAACATAAAAAGAAATTGCTACTCGTGAGACTTTTGCGGATGTAACAATGTTGGCTTGGGGGAAATTCCCAGTTTGGGATAGCTTATGAAATCCCACCTCTGTGGTTATACATGCAGTTGGTGATTGTGAATCCTTCCACCAGCCAGCGGTCTCCTGGGCTGTCATTGCACACCAAGCAAGCGCTTAAGTAAATGGTCTCCACCAAGCCGTGTCTGTATCTGTCACTCTCTATGACTCTGCTACACTCATTTAATTTCAAGGAATTTTCTTCTGATTTATATCAATGCGAGTAAGCTCACATTGTGAGTGAGCTTTGCTGCTCAGCCTCATAAAGGGAGAGATGCATGAACTCCACAGGTGATTTTCTATCTCTCAAGCTATTGCTTACCAATACAGGGTATCTCTCACCAACACATTCTGCTGCTTGGATTATCTCTCAAGCTATTGCTTACCAATACAGGGCCTTCATCGGCAAAACTGGTCTAAAGATTTCCTGTTCCCCATCCCTTTCCCTCCACCCAGTATTTTTCCAACCTGAAGCAATTCCCTGTTCACATCATTGCAGGAGACAAGGGGGTAGATCCTAAACTGGTAGTAATGGAAGTCACTGGATGAAATTTCAGCAGTGGAGGAATCTCACCTGACTTTCCAAAGATTTGCAAGAAGATCACTGTTCAGTGTGAACTGAAACTCTGTTGGTTGTTCAACTTCTTTGCATTTGGGAAGGGGACAGCTATGGACAGAGTGCCCGTCGCTGTAACCAATTCTTCTTCTGCTCACATTCTGTCCCACAAGTGCTGAACACATTTCACACAAAACCATCACAAAATCTGAACTTCTGTGCCCAGCCAGACTTGTATGTGTGCAACACACTTTTAGTACTGTGTTAAGGTATAAAACTCCACACAAATAAAACTCGGTGCAATGCATTTTCCCTACTTACATTTCTATCTGATTCCATGGATGGTATGCAGGCCAACAAACAAAACCAGATCTGTCAGGTCTCTGGCAGGGAATCCAAACAAACCATAGTGCACAGCTTCTTTGTTGCCTAAGGTAAGAATGCGTGTGCTTCTAGCATAAGATCTGCAAAGACATAGTTCCAAATTTAGGCTCTTCCATCCTTACTTAGGTGCCTAGTCAGGAATGAGGCTCTCATCAAATCAGTGATTCAGCAAGTCACACCTGTCAACTGAGCTGTAGTCACTGCCAATAACGGTTCATGGGCTCCTCGGCCTCCCCAGCTGTGAGGGAATGTGACTTGTTAAAAACTTCAATAAAAGAATTTCACGGACAATTACAGTGGTTCAGCTGATAGATGGTAACTTGTTAAGCTGCCATAAATCAGTTGTGGATCTGAGCTGTAAATAGGTGACCTAATTTTCAAAGAAGCTGAGATAATAACTTTCATCAGTGTCAAAGGGAGCTAATAGATGCTTCAAACTTCCGAAGTCAGGAAATTCAAGGCTAAATCCTAAGACTTTTTTATTATGCCTCAGTAATATCTGACACCAAATGTGGTCCCATTGGCTTAAGTGGAACTACACCTGGTGCAACACTTGGCATTGTTTAGGCACCTGAATAAGGATTTGTAAGCCTAATTCTGGGTATTCGTTTTCCTAAATCTCAAAGTCTGACTTTCATAATTTTGAAATAATCCCTCTTTTCTTCCAGTGACTGTATTGTTACAGCCACAGAGATCCAAGGAGGTAAGAGAGGCTGGGTTTTGTAGGGACAAGATCTTCTAGTGGAGCAACAGGTAAAGTTGGTTTAGTAGTGTTGCCTCTCTCCCTACGTACCCCGCTTCTCTCCTCCACATCACTTTCTGTTCATGCCCATCTAGGGCTTTATTCTGTTCTGACACCAGCTTCATGACAGAGTAATGCTAGTGGTTATAGTGCAGCTACTACTAATTTACAGAGGAAAAAAAAAAAAAAAACAAAACCAAAAGAGCTCAGAGTTGCTTTCAAATTCCCAGTCTAGGAAATTCTCTCAAGCAGAATTTCACCTACTTCTTATTGCAAATGTAATACAACATGAACTGTATTTACTATGTGCAAATACAATTCTTACATCCTTTTTAAATAAACCTTCCCTTGAATTTTAAAGGAATCAGCATTTCTGGATTTTAGTCTATGAAAAAGTTCTGAGCTTTGAATGTTCAGAAATCAAGTACTCGGTAAGAAAGGTCCAAAAAATGAATGCAAAAGTGTTAGCAAGATGGTGTCAAGTTATCAGAAATTAGCAACCATCACACTTAGCAGAAATCCCAAAAGTAGAATAGAAACTAGAATAAAAATCTCAGTCAGTGAAGGAAATGTGATTGTTTTCCCAAATATGTTGACTCTTGATAATTTCTGAATTGTGATCACAGCAAGGATGCTAAGCTCCACCACAACCCCAGGATATCTTTCAATTCCTCACTGGTACTTGCTTCAGCACTATTCATTTTTCAGTGTTGGCTTTCATTTTTTGTTCTTTGCAGACCAAGCTCTGAGGTGAATCATATCTGTTTTCTCTTGGAAAACCTAACAGTCCTATGTTTAGCTCTGTCTCTTCCCTTTTCTTCTCATTCATGCTTCAGAAGCATATTTCTCTTAGATTAGTCATTGGAGGGTGCTTGACCAAGCCAGCAGCAGTTCCTCCCCACCGTGCACGATGTGCGCCCTCGCTGTGCCGATGACGCTACATGCCGTGCTGGGAAGCCGCTGCCCGTCCAGTGTGCCTGGGCTCACTGTGTGTAATCATGCTGCAAGTATCGAATCAGTCTGTCCGGGAGAGGCAAGGTGTCAAGAAGTTTAATGCGTTTTTTTCCAACCAGGCTTCGTACCTTGATGCGGCAAAGATGGGAAAGAGGTCGTGGAGGCTCTGAAAGACAGGCAGGTCAGAAACATGAGCAGAACAGGATTGTACTTGAGAGGGACAGCTCAGCTTGGCCAGGCCAGTGACAAGAGGAAAATGGGAGAAGGAGGAATGAAAAAAGGGGCTTTTCTGTAATGGAGGGATGATGCGTCCGGCATTGGTGGCAGCTCATCTATTCTGAGGCATGACGTATAGGGAAGGAAGCGGGGCTGGAGGATGGGGTGCTGTATCCCATCTCAGCCTTAGCAATGGGCTTTCAAGGAGGATTTAAACAAGCTGCTTCACAGTACTTAGTCTTCCCACTGAAAATAAATGTAATATGTACCAAATTTAGCTTGGTGCCAGAAAACTAATTCTGATAATGTCTATGAAAGACTGGATCCTGAGGGAAAGGATGTTTAGGAGAGCAGAATATTAGTAAAGGCTTAAAGGCCACTGGTGCCTGCTGGGCTGCTGTGGTCACGCTGCCCGCCTGCCCTGATCTGACTGCACCCCAGGTGCAGCCAGACGGGTTTTCCTGCACTGGCAGTGCTCATTCCCAGTGGGTCAGATCCACAGCTGCTGTACGTTTAACATCACAGAGTCAGTGACACCCCAGCAATTTCTAGTGCCTCATACCTGGTCCAAAATGTAATTCAGTCTCAGCAGGGAAATCCTATCCAGTTTAAGGGATGAATACTAAGAGGAGATGGTGACTGAGGTTTTGAATCCAATAGTGGGACTATTTGTGCCAGATTCTCTCCTGGCTGACCATACCTGCTTTTTCTTTAATGACAGCCCAGTCCTCATAGCTGTCAATATGCTCCTTGAGCCGGGAACAGAGCTGCACATTACCCACATAATCCAGGAGAACATCGATGATCGGCCCGGCCCAGCGACTTATCTCTGGAGTAGACACCATTTCACAAAACTTCAAGGAAAAAAGAGATTGACTACAGTCAGTGGGACATGAATGCACCCATGGAAACTGCAACGATAGCAACAGCCCCGACTGTGTTGGTGGTCCCACCCTTCTACCAGCTGTGAGAGCAATTACCAGTTTCCTCTCAGAAAACTTCAACCAAAGCCTCTTTTTTTGCAACTGAGGGCAGAATCCCCTCTTTAAAACCACAGGAGGACACAAAACCCTGGTGGAGTCGTAGCTCTGGAGCATGGACTGACTGAGCACTCTGACTGAGCGTGCTGGGTCCCTTTCCCTTCTTGGGAGGGGCTCTGTGGGGCAACTGTGCACAAAGGAGGCTTAGGGAAACAGGGAGATTCGGCAGAGCACACCACACCACCTCCTGCTTCTGGTGAACCCACTGGTATCTGCAGCTTTTGGGGACCAAATACCTCACTAGAAACAAAACAAATACCTGCAGGTTTTGTGGTCCAAAGTCCTACCGAGCAACAAGTGTAGGGAAATCTCTGCAGAGATGAATTCCAGGCAGTTTTACTCGCCTGTGGGAGAACTATACTGAGCCTAATGCAGAGCAGAAGCATCTTCCTTACTCAGTCCTGGATCAGGCAAATCTGTTGCCCCCCAGTGCAGAGTATTCAGAGCTGTTGCATGGAGGGCTGCTTATGGAGATATTGAAGAACAGACTTAAGGACCCAACTTTAAGCAGTCTCATTTCAAAAAAAGTAGTGACTTCTCTTCCCACTTTAATCTAAATATGTATATTATACCAGACAGCTTCATCTATTGCTGTTAGGGTGCTGCATATGATGAAGATATCGGTGGACTTATCTGCATGTGAGCAGTCAGAAAATTAAGATGAATTAAATCATGCTGTGTGGATAAGAACTCAGGCGCATGGCCGAACCCAATTGAATAATGGGGGCTTAAGCACCATCCATCGGCTTAGTCACTGAGACTGTCTGCAGGCACCCTCCAAACCCACCACAAACAGGAAGGAAAATACACCAGCTTAAACCTCTTTCAGTTTAAGCTGCTGTAACTAGATCGCATTTGATTATACATGCATGAACCCTAACTCAAAATGCATTAAACTCTTGTGTGGATACTCTTATTAAGAAATAAAATTATATTAGCTCACCTAGGAAAGAATAAAGCTGCAGAAAATTGTAAGGCCATTTTATACAAGGTGAGAGCGTTCACAGAGGTGTTTACGACTCTTCTGACTGTTTTTTTCACTGAGCATCTCCATGTAATGTTTCCCAGGAAAATCAGACACAGTAATGTTGGGAGGATCCCAGCAGACAACCCACAGTTTCCTACCTGGACCGCTTATAGGAAGTTCAGTTTAGTATATCTGGCTGTCGTTCTCCAGTGCATATACAATTGCCGTGCAGCTACCCATCGGACATGCAAACTGGGGATCTGCACTACCACCTCTAAGCAGTGATGCCATTTTGTCAGAGTTTAAATGAGGACACATGCGTAGGGCAATAAAACACTGGATCTTACTGCTCTCCTCTTCTTGAATCCACCAGAGACCTTGCCTGCTTTTTTGTCTCTTCCCCATTCACAAGCTTAGCCTACAAAAACGTTTTCTGGAATAAAAATGTTCCAAAACATGTTGCAGGAAAAGAAGCACAGCAAGACGAAGCAAAATAATGCAAACCTGCAACTACAGGCAATGGAATTGACTCAGGGACAAAGTGACTGTGGGCCTGGGACACACTTTGCCTGCAGTCTCGGTAGGCCCCTGAATGCCCTCTCGCGGCAGTAGGATACTTCACTCCCCACATTCAAGGTTTTGACATTACAATTCTGGAAATGTGGAGTGAGACAGCAACCATTTTTCTGCATTCACTTTCTCCAGGACACATTAGTTTAGTAGCAACAGTAATGATTTATAATTATGCATTTTTCAAATCTACTTCCAGTAGCTCATAGTCTTTCCTGTATAAAGGCTAATCATTCAAATTTATTATCCTTATGTAATATTACACGAAAAAATATAAAATGCACATCTTCTGTGTTGAGAAGGCTATAGTTTCATAAGATCCTTTATATTTCAGAATACAAACCATATCACAACTGTATCATGAAGCTGCACCATACAAGCCTTACTTTTACTAGCCAAATTCCCAGCAGTAACAAGCAAGTTTAAGATAATATCAGAGGGAAGGGATCGCTTTTTCTCTGTATGCATTTGTCCCTCACCGGTCCCTCTCTAGGCACAGATACAATTTTACACAGCTTTTGCTACCCCTGCCTCACGCGGTCTGACCTTTGAGGTGATGGCTCTGTTTGTGAGTGACCCAATATTTTGTTAGGCACTAAAAGTAGTTCTGGGTGAGATCCAGAGGGAAATAATGTGCTTAAATAAGTAAAAACAGAACTATTTTTGAGTGGCTAGAATATCGTAGAGGGCTACAGACAAGGCTTCTCCTTGCCTTGGAATTCCAGCCCTCTGTTCACTCTGCAAGCTACCATATCATGGTTCAAGAACTAGAGATTATATATTTTATTATTTTTACTTTGACAAAAATGTGGTGTCCTGGAGCAATTTTGCTGTGACAAACACTCTCAAGAAGAAGACAGCTCTGTTTGGGATAAGAGACTATTTTAATGGACTCTTACAATCCTCTTTCTAAGATTTCTTTCTGTTTGTTTCTGAGACATGTTACTGAAGAGTAAAGTCTTTTAGAAGACAGTCTCTTTGAGCTAAACGACGCTTTCTTCTGAATCCCTCAAAGCTACACTTAAACTAGATAGAAGCTGATTTACTTCTTTCCTGATTCGTTGTGAAATAGAAAGACTGCCGTGCTGAGATTTCTTTGTTGTGTTGCGTGTTGATGCCCCTCCGCAGGGCTGCTTATCCAGTAGACTCAGAAATTGCAACTATTTACATTCATTAGTTTACGCTCATAAAGTGAAGCACTAGACAATTTTAATTTAACTGGGAGCTTAAATTGCCTATCAGACAAAACAAATTTTACAGAGCAAATAAAACAAGCAGGTTTCTACTGCCCATATGCTACTGCCCATATGCTACCGCCCATATGACACTGCCTGTCAAGAAAACATGCTTCACTCCTGGCACCTCAGGTCCAGAGGAAAAGAATATTGTAGATCTGATGGCAAGGCTGTCAAGATGGCTATAATTCACTGCAAATTCAAGCTAGGGCCACAGCGGCTGTTGTCTGCCCTCCTGCTGTCATTGAACATGGACTTGGAACATTCACAGACTCTTACTGAGCCTTTTTTCTGTAAATAAAGTAGGAATGAAGGCATCTTCTTTCACAGGAAAGTTGGGAGAAAAAATACATTAAAGTTGTCAAGATACATGGGTAGGAGACGTCCTCAGAAGTACTGTAGGTAGATTAGGCAGTGCTTACCTGTACTATGGTTGGCTCCTTGGACAGCTGAGGATCATTAAGTCTGTCCCGTCTGTAATTTAATGCAGGGTGTGGGCCATTTCCATACTGACACTCAAAACAGGAACCCGCATCACAGCCCAGATCGAGGAGGTACTTCAGCACGGAAAGGTACTTCATTGAAAACATGATAGTAGCTGGAAATGCAGTGGGATGGCTTGATATATAGGCATCAATATTTGCTCCATGGTCAAGGAGCAGTTTCATGGTCTTCATGCAGCCATGGCGGATGGAGATGAGTAATGGGTTGATGAGGTCAACATTGGGGTTGGCTCCGGCTTGCAGCAGGAGTTCTGTGGCATAGATGTTGTTGTTAAAAACAGCAAAATAGAGGGGCGTGGTGCGCCTGTCCTCGTAAAGGCAAGACCGTTCGTTGGAGAGGGCGGAGTTGACATCGTAGCCAGCATCGATCAGCTCTTCCAAGATGTCATCATTGTTGCGTTCGGCTGCTAAGTGCAGGGGGCTGATGCCACTGCGCTTGACACGGGTACGGCTGGTCACAGGGATCAGCATGGAGACAATCCTGCCAGGTGGAGAGTCAACAGCAGTAAGCTCTAGGGGATCTACAACCATACAGCAAATTGTAGCTGTATGGTTGTAACCATAAGAGAGAGCCTGCTAACTCAGGCACAGGAACAACTCTTTCTGAGAGAAACCAGGGTGTGAACATGAAACCTGTCAACAACTCCCTGTGCTCCTACCTTGCCAAAAATGTGAGTTGCGTGACCCCCTCTTTGATGGAAGAACAAGTTTTTTTGAAATTATCACCCAGTTTCTATGAGGTAATGGCAGCTACAGGGGCAGTTAAGCTGGAAGAGTCAACATGCTGGCACCTCACCTGCCCTGTTGTAACTCTCTTAGGTGCCACAGCCCAAATGGCAGATACCCAGCCGGGATGTCCCAGACATTCTGCACCTTCATCATCGTGCTGTGGGTAGGACTGGAGGAGCAGGCGCACGGCCTCCAGCCTGAGGTGCCAGCAGAGAGGCTGTCTCTTCCCACCTCCATCAGGATAGCTTTATTGCTCAGCAGAGAAGGGCACCAACACAAGGCATTAGTATGCCTCCTGGGTCTCAGCAAGAGGCTTGAGACCAGAAAGGAGGTGAAATCAAACCTTCTTCTGCAGGACTGAGCTAGGATAAAGTACATATTTGTTTTCCAGTTATTACCCTGGATTGATCCCCGTCCTGGAGGCCCTCACTGTGTGGCTTTTGGCTGTGGCAAACCCATGGGGCTATCAACGTCCATCCCAGATCATGGTGAGCCAAAAAGACAATTAGGAAAGGGGAGAAAAAGAAACAAAAATATTTTCCAGGCTGGTTTCCATACTTTAGCCCAGGGAGAAAAAATGTACAGCCAAGGCCTAAAACCTGGTAATCAGAGATTGCTATTGGAAAGTGTGATGTGGCCTTAAACACTGCAACATAAATCAAGCTGCTATCGTTATGTAATGCGAAATTCAAATATATGATGTACAGGAGCCCTGGAGTTGCAAATCCGTGATCATTTTTATATCTCCATAGGTATCATTGGAGCTACATGACCAGCCCCATGGGTTAAACCCTCATTTCCTGCTCATGAGGTTGGGTGGCTTAGCCAAGGTACTAGGTTGAGTTTGTAAATACAGACAAGTCACCTTAAGCTACTTCCAGAACAAGACTAGGGACCATCCAACCTGAGTCTGCCTGCTGTCTCAGGAGATGCTCATGCTCCCTATATAATGCCTGTGGAGAGAGGGATATCTAAAAAAGGAACATGTGGGAGCCAGCAAGCTAAGCACACCTTCTCCTCCTCTTCTTCCTCCCATGCAGACTCCTCTATCTAGCAGTCAGCAGCTCTTCTAACACACAAACATGCGAACCTCAGTTTCCTACCATGTAGCGTGTCTCTTTTAAAATGCTGCATATCTTCAGCTTGACTGCAATGGCTGGTCCCAACATTGGGCCCTCAAACATATATTTACATAATGAACTAAGCCAAATATAAGCGCTAGTCTCAGGAAAACCTTTGTCAGTGATGAACTGAATGATCCTGTGAAAGACTGAGCCTCCAACGCTCCCACAAGCTGAAATAAGGGTTGAAGATGCATAACACTTTACAGGATTATGTTCCTATTTACATGATGGACTACTGATGTCTCCAAGTTACTTCTACATCTCATTTTTAAACAAAAAGTCTTTTTAAAATATGTAAATATCTTGGGAAATTAAGCGCATTTTTTTTTTCCTCCGGTCAGACTCACTAATCTTCCAGTACTGTGATGCTCACCATGGAGCAGGAGGTTTGGGTGCTGGTGAGCTGGCAACTTCCCACCATTAGCAAATGTTCTGTAAGAGCCATAATAACAAAAAGGGCACAGAGCACTGCGAGGACACCATGCCAAGTGCCAGCATTAGTCATCCCATGATCAACTGTTTTGAAGATTTAAGGGTCTGTTTTGTTCTTTCCCTCCAGCATATGTGCTTCAGCCAGCTCTTCACATCTGAGTTAAAGAGGCACCATGTCATTTTTGTCTGCAAGGGGGACCTGAACCTCACCGCAGGGGTGCCACACTGAGGCTCTGCATCCAAATATTGCAGTGTCCTAGACCTCAGTACGCTCCCTGTACCCCAGATTTATTTTGGGAAGAAAAGCAGGAAGCATCAAATTTGTATCAGAGTTCAATTTTGTAGCTTGAACCTGTCTCTCTTCCTCCTCCTCCAGAGGGGGTTGGTTCAGTAATATGGTGCCTCCACCTCTGCAGTCTTTCCTCTCTGTCTAGAGGGGAAAGGCAGTTCAAGTGAAGGTAGCCAAGGCAGGACAAGCCAGACCACATCCCACGTCTATCACAAGGCTGAGCTTCATGTACAGTTTTGAAATAGTGCCGAAATTCCCCTCATCCCTGACACCTGCTTCTGTGATTTCTATTTGTTAGAAATTATATGGAGAAGGAGGCAGAGCATCCTTAGTATGAGTGTGCCAAGTGTATTGACTTGCATTTACTTAATAAATCTGCCCACACTTCACAAAGTCTTCCCTTCTCAGCATCTAAGTTCTGAGGGGGAAGGAATTAAATGACTGCTTGCGATTGTCCTACTGCTGATGAGATGACCCTTACGAATTTCAGGTCAGTATTGACAAGGTGTCATTTAAAATAAACAAACACCAAGCAACAAGAGTTGACAGTTGAGCCTTGGGACCACATTCTTGGCTTTTTGATGGTAGGGAGCCTTCGTGCTCTGGCAAAAAGTTGAAGCGTGGAATTCCTGCAGAATTACGTATTAAATCTGCAGGAATACAAAGAGAGGTCACCGTGAAGGGTGTTATTTTACTGAATGCCAGAGGAATTAAGAATGATCAGCCTATTGGGCTAAAGCTTTGTCACTTAGATAAATATTTATAAGAGACGTTTTTCTTCTTTCTTTCTTTTGCACTTAGTTTGCAGCAGTTGTGCACAAAAATTTGTGCTCAGTCTTTCACAAGTGAAGGAACTCAGAGTCTGGGCTGAATTCTGGTCTCATTTATGCTGCTGGTTGTTATAATAGATATGAGGTCTGAATCAGGCTCTTGCTTTCATGACATGGGGAGGGACTCAGGTTGCAGAGTTTCCATGTAAATTTCTTTTCAGGTCGGGGTGTGGAACTATAGAGGGGAGGAAAAGATTCAGAGAGCTGGTCCAGACTCTATATACAAATTGGATTCAGACCAACCTACTGTACTTTCAGATGAAGTTTTTTGAAAGTGAGCAACTGGAGCTGGGTTCTGTCTCTGGCACATTTCTCATCTAAAATGTGTTTGTTTGCAAGAAAATGTCTTTGTAACTCAAACCCCGGAGAAAATTTTGAATCATGCCTGCATTAGTCTGTGCAGGGTATTCATGTACATGCTGTAAGCATATAAACCCATTACATAAATTCACACTGGGCTACCCTCTGGAATACACAGCTTGCACAAAGAAGCAGGCCTACTCCAACTGCAGAAAATGCAGGTCTATCAAAGTGATCTGAGAAGCTTAATTGGGATTCCCAAGCAGACCTAAATGCTAGGATAAAAGATGCTATGGAAAGGTGTAGTGCTGTCAAAAGTTTTCATTCCTCAGACATTGTAAAATATGTAAGAATCCCCTCTAGCAGTTGTCTGCAAAGATAGCTTTACTATTCAGAAACAGTCTTTGCAGTAGGATATACTGCCCTTTGGCTATTGCTGAAAGGATTTTGATAGAAACCGTGATAGTCAGAAGAGTTCACTACAGTCACCAAAAGGGTCTGTCACTGCAAGATGTGACTGTGTTTTGCAAAAATAGCTGTGGGCCACTCACCTTTCCAGCAGCGAGGGGTTAAAGGCAGGAGCTAAAACTTGCCCTAGGATCAGGAGTAAATGCTAAGGAGTTCAGGCTCAGAAGCATGCTGCAATGTCCCAGGTCTTGAAAGAGCTAGGTAAACACTATTTACATGACGGTGCAACAATCCCATCCCTAGACAGCATCTTCTAAATTGATATCCTTTATCGCAGGCTGTGGCGTTTCTCCCCCTCCTATCAACACCTCTACTTCAGAGGACTGGTAAATCTACCCAATTCCTTGTTATTTTTTTCCATTAGTTACTTTTCTCACTGTTTAAAGAATGTGTTCAGCTCTATCCCAAACACATTTCATTTCAGAATCAAACCACTGGATCTTTTTATGCATTTGTCTGTTACATTTAAGAGTCATTTAATCACTCACTAATAAAGTATATTTTCCAGACTGTAATTCTTGTACTTCTTTTCTGAAGCCTTTCCAATTTCCTGAAAGGTTTCTGAAAGGCAGGGTACCAGAATTGGACACCATATTGTAGCAACAATCTCACTAATGCCCTAGAGATTCACTTAACCACTTCCTGCTGTCAGCATTTGAATTATTGTTAATAAAACCTGAACACACCAGAGATGAATGCAGCATGTTCTGCTTGTGCAGAAGAATCACAACGGGCTCATGTAGG